GCTAAAGGAAAAGTGATGAACTCAGCTCACTAACGCTAATGATTGTGTGTCCTTACTGTGTATTCTTAAATATTTTTTCTGTTTGAGTATTAATTTATTATTAATGTATTATTATAAATACTGACAAACATAAGATACACAAACAAGAAATTTAAAGTCTTCAGAAATTTTTAAGAACATAAAAAATCTCTTACCAAAACTTTTGGGAACCACAGGTGAAATGATTAAGATTCTTTTCCTTCATTCATTGCCCCAAACCAGACCTCCTGAATTTAAAAGTATCTACCACAGATGACCCTGGACAGATTATTTCACCTACCGAGTTCTTAGTTTCTCATCTCAGACAAAAGATTCTGAGTTTCTCATTTCAGAAAACTGTAGACATACTTTACAGAATTGTCTGAATACACTGTTACTTAATAAAAGTTTGTTAAATAGAATGATAAGGACTTCCATTTCAAAAATTTTGAGACAATGTTAAACTAAGAGTAATCACCACCCCATCCTACCCTCTGAACCAAAAATGAATTAGCTTTTTATAATTTTCATGGCTATGGAATAAAATTATTCTAAACTTTAATAAACTTTGTACTATAGAATAGTATTGTAGAGCATTATTCATAAGTATATAACATTTAGCTCAAAATGGTTCCATTTATGCAATTACCCTCATGTCAAGAAATTTAACATTGCCAGGCATCAGAAATTCTGTTCGCTCTTCTCCTTCTTTTATGTCCCTATTATTCCCCAAGGAAAAGTGATATCCTGATTTAAGACACTGTGGACTAGTTTTTTTCTGTCTTTGAATTTCATGTAACTGAAGTCACATAGTATGCAGAATTTCACAATCTAGATTCTTTCACTGAACATTCTGCAAGATTTGTCTATATTGTTATGTGAGTTAATAGGTAATTTTTTATTGTTGTTATTGCATCCCACTGTGTGATATACATAACATTCACCTCCCGTATTCTTGATGAATACTTGTCATTTTTCTGATTTTGTCTAGACTAATATTTCTCTTGAGGAAATTCCTAAGATTGTAATTGTTTGGTTATAGATATTATATAAGGCTGTCATAGGGAAGTCTTCTGCTGGATCATAGTGAGTCTGTATGTTTTCCTTTCCAGTAGTTTCCCAGTGTGATTGTACACATCTACACCCCTGCTACCCTCTGTATGACAATCAGTTGCTAATAATTGGTGTTGTCTGTGTGTTGAATGTTAGGCATTCCTGATGTATCTAGATAATTCATTGGGTTTTGGATTTTCATTTCCCTGCTAACTACTGCAGTTGAGTATCTATTCGTGTGTTATTTAAATAACCTTTTCTGTGAAGTACATGCCCAAAACATTTGCACTTTTTTTCCCTACTGGGTTCTTTTGTTTACTTATTTATTTGAAAGATTTATTTGTATCTCCTACATGCATGACCTTTGACAGGTTTTTTATTTTGTTTTTGTTTTTGTCTTGGTACTGGGAATCGAACTCAGGATCTTGTGCTTGCAAAGTAGGCGGCAGCACCACTGAGCTAAATCCCCAGCCTCCTTTGATGGTTTTAATACATTTTAAGGTCCTTCTAGAATTCTGTAACCTGAATTTAAAATGGTAAAAGAGCTTTATTAATATAGCATCTAATTTTAAGTCCATCGTCACGAGCTTTGCAAATATTGTAGACATGTAAGTACAAGTATGAGAGGAGGAGGACAGAGGGATTTTGCTTTGATCAGTCAATGTTTATATTTCAGCTTTTCTGTTTACACATCATTAAATGCACACTCTGAATTGTGGAAGAATAAGAGAGACAATACTTTATTCAGAATTTGTTTATAAGCTATGCTCCATGGCACTTTATAAGTAGCCAGCAATCAGCTCTGAGCTTGTAAAGTCTGACAATATGCACAGTTCCTAATCTGACTTATAGATATGATCCTACCATTCAACTGACTAAAGGGCTGGATGATAAAGAAATGTTCACAGTTACTTTGTCTCTCTTCCCCATTTATATTTCCTGTTCTGGGACCAATATTTTCTGGTGTTTGGTCTCTGTTGAGCTTTTGTGCTCATTATGAGAGACCCAGTTTGTTGCTTGAAAGGTCACAGGCTGTGCTGTACTGGATAGGAAGATCAGGCCTGTAACATGACCCCTTGTTAAGATGCAACACAAAAAGGTTTTTCTACTGCCAAAATTAGCTTCCTGCCAGTCCTTCTTTGGTACATTATTCACTATTATAGAGAGTGAAATTCTGATTTTTTTTGCTATTGTACAAAGATTGCTTCTGTTATTCTAGTTTTGGTGTGTGCCTGCCAGGAAAGTTTTGATTAAGGAAGATAGAAGGACATTTCTTAACAAGAAAAACCTAAAAAAAAAAGCAAACTAAACAAAAATCACAATGACTCCTTTTTCTATATTTTATTAATGAAATGGGATTTTCTTCCTGTGAGAATAGCCTTATAGATTAGTATGACACATACTAGTGAAACAACTTAGCAATTTTTATCTCTAGCCATAAAAGGGGTCGTATAGTTTACTCTTTTTATAAAGTGTCTAAGAAAATAATTGAAAATGCAGAAATGACCTTATTTATAAAGTTGCTCAATGTGGCTGCACTTACTAATATTGAAAAATTGGAAGTAGATTAAGAGCATAGCATTAGAAGAATTATGAAGCAATTATGGAATATCCATCAGAAGGAATATGATATTAATTTTTTAAAAGTGTTCATCAACTCTTGTTGGAAAGGCTATGAGGCTCAGTCCTTAAAACATCCTATCTTATCAAAATATCCATAACGACCACTCTCTAATGCCAAAATCAACATATAAAATATGCAAGATGTTTTTAATCTCTTCCACCCAGAGAAAATATGTTAAAGTTTGGCTTTATCATAGAGCTATGACCTAGAAACAAGAAAAACAGCAATTTTCACTCTGACTACTCTCTGCTTTGGGGAATATATAGCCCTTGTCTGCAATGGGTCTCAATGTATGGTCCAGAACAGTGGCATCAGTATTACTTGAGAACTTGTTCTTTCAGACATACTGAGTCAGAAACTCTGGCGATGGGACCAAAAGTCACCTGCAGATGGTTCTAATACTCCTAAAATTTAAGATATTTTGAATTTTTTGATATTTATTAAATGTTTTATTTAAAGATTTTTTTACATGAAAAAGAAGGTATACAAATACAGATTGCATCATGATGACCAAGGCAGTATTCTACATGACAAAAATCAAAAGAAAACGAATTTATGAAGTAAATGTACTGGCACTGAACAAGATACTTGAAATTTAATCCAGGCTGCATATGCATAAAATGAGCTGACTACAGACTTATGCAAAATAAATTATTTCCTTGAACACCAAAATGCCAACCATTCTGACTATAAACTGCCTTATTCCCTGGTGAATATTTTGAGACCCTCTACATAATCTGAAAAGAACTGGAATGATACTTGAAGGCTGCAAAAAAATAGAATACAGTTAAAAACATATTTTAATGCAATTCTGCATAAAATGTACACAATCTTGCTACTTTAAAAATTTAAAAACAAGAGACCACCCTGAATAAAGGTTAGAACCTCATAAAAGAAAAGTGCTTATCATTTGAATATCTTTGCTAGAAAACTGGTAAGATTTTGTTGAGGGGAACAAGGAAGATCTCTAATGAAGTCATTAATTTAAATTTGTTCAAAAATATTCATAAAGTTGTAAATTGTTGCTTATATCATCTTAAAATATTATACCATGAATACACTTTCTACTATTTAACTGGAGAACAAAAGAATAACTTGAAGAAAGTGTTTCTCAAAATGAGGTCCAAAGGCCCTAAAGAGTTCTAATGTGGACTTAGTAATAAACATGTTAAACAAACACCCTGTGTGATGATTCTACATTCTGATGTCCTACAACAAATACAGGCACGCAAATACAGATTTAAGCAGTGCTTAAAAGCAAGGTCATAAACGTGTTTCTGATATGTTAGAATTCTCTATAATTTTATGTTGTGAATACTGCTGTTTGTTTTAAACAAGTCCCAGGAATTAAGAGAAACATACATATATATGCATGTTTACCTCAGAATTGATCATGTGAATGTCTATAAACATTTTCCTTTATGCTTTCATTACTTTCAAACTTGAAAATTGAAAGAAAAGACCATATATGTCTAAAAGCTTTGGAAAAGTTACCTTTCTAATGAAATGGGGCACTGCAAAAAAGAAAAGAAAATGTATTAAATGCCTACAAATTTTAAATCATTCTAAGTGTAAAACTAGATAGTTTACCTAAAATTAAATTTTACTAAGATTGGATTATTGTAACTTATTTATAGACAATGATGGTCACTTTTCAAGTCCTTTGCATAAAAATAGTTAAGACAGGAATGCTGGAATGCTATATCTGGCAATTTCAAATAATAAATTGTTAACCCAGTAACTTCAATAAAAACATTTTGAAGAACTTTGCTCCTAAAATGAATTCTACTATGTATTTTATGTTATCCTACTGAACAAAAAAACTTAAATAAGGAGGTAAAACTAAAATATGTGTATATTCTGCAGATTAATTAAAAATTGTTATAATTTTTTAGATTCCCTGAAGACTACATAAACTGGGGTTCAAAAAGTATAGATAATATGGTTTGATATTAACAACATAGGTAAGACCTTCTACCTAAAAGATTATTTTCCTGTATAGTAAATAACTAGAAACAGTATTATACTGTCTTCATTCAACAAATGGAATGTGTTTCCTAGTTTGTTTAATAAACAATTGGCTCATTGCTATTCAAGTCAAATCATAAAGAGCAACTCTTCTCAACAAAAAATTCAATATTCTCTAATATAGACTACAAGAATCAAGTATTGAAACTAAATATAACTATAAAAAGTGAAATTAGCTTTTTGGCAATTATGAAATGGTTAATTGAACCCAGGCTGGTGACAAGTTTTTTCATGTATTAAATAGCAATAAGCAGAATTCATAGTTAAAAAGTAAGTATTAGACCCATTCTTCTTCATACATCATAAGATGGTTGACATACTCAAAACCTGCAAATTCACACCCTTCAATTTCCCTCACAATGTCATTATCATCTGGGGTGAGCCAGACAGGTTCATCAGTAAACTGAGAATCAAAGTTGTCCAGACTGAATCCCCCAGACATATTTGGTTTAAAGGGAGGCACCACCTGCTTTCGCTCCAGCATCTCCCAGTCAACATCTTGAAAGAATGGATGCTCCTGAATATCAGCAAGTCCCCTTTGAGGACGACAGCCCAATCTTTCTTTCGGGTCCCTGTTCAGAAAGCTCTTCAAGACACTTGCAGCTTTTATGGACAGATAATGAGGCATGTGAATTTTTCTTTCCAAAGTAACTTGCAAGAGATTATTGTTTGAATTTTGGCCAGGGTTATCAGAGCTCTCAGCAAGATGAAAAGGAGACTCTCCAATCATCATCTCATACATCAGCATTCCAAGAGTCCACCAGTCCACACTGAACCCATAATCTTCCCCTCTTATAATTTCTGGAGCCAGGTAATTAGGAGTGCCACAGAAAGTGCTGGTCATATCTCCTGGTTCTAAGCCTTCCTTACATATGCAATAGTCTGTGAGTTTAATGTGCCCTTCTGAGTCCAGTAGTATATTGTCTAGTTTCAAATTTCTGTACAGTATCCCTTTCTGATGGAGATAGTTGAATGCTAAACCAATTTCTGCAGAGTAAAACCTGGCATGTTCTTCAGGAAGTGTTCTTTGTTTCTGCATATGAAACATCAGATCTCCACCATTTACATAGTCTAGAACAAAGAACAGTCTGCTTTCTGTCTGGAAGCAAGAATGGAGTCCAACAAGAAAAGGGTGATTGGAAATCTGCTGTAAAATGTGCTTCTCTGTCCCTATCCGATCAGTGTTGACAAGCTCTTTTTTCACTGTTTTCATCGAGTGCATACGATCTGATTTTTTCAGTTGAACTTGCAGTACTTTCCCATAACTTCCTCTCCCTATCACACGGAGCATATCAAAGTCCTGAAGACTTAATCTAGGTGAAGCCTTGCCATTTTCCCTGGCGTTCCCTGCCTCATTCTCTTCATCAATTTGTCCTAAAGCCTTGTGACTTGAAAGATCACATGGGATTGCTGTCTGTGCAGGGTCTGAAGCCACAGATGATGGATCCACCGGCACCATGGGCTCTGAAGGTAAAGAATGCTGCCCACATTCAATTGTGACAAATTCGTGGCACTTCTTGTGAACTGAAAGTTTACAGCTGGCGCACTTATATGCCTGGAGGCCAAGGCCCCCTACATGCTCTGTGCAGACAGCGCAGTGAGTTCTCCTGCTGAAGCCACTGGCTTGAGAAGCATGGCCATTTGCACAAAGCAGCTTTCTCCAGCGCCCGGCAGCTCTGTGGAGGATGGATTTCTTTTCTTCTGGACAAGGAACTTTAGGATGTTCTGGTATACAAGGTGATGGATGAATTAAGAGTTCGTTTTGAGAACATGAGTTTTTTAGCCCAGAAAGCTTAAAGGCCTCTTCTAACTCCAACTGAGGTGACACAGTATGGAAGTCTCCTTCCTCCTCTGCCCAATCTGTGGTGAAAAGCTGTTTATTGTCCAAACACCACACATCGCAATCTTTATCACGCAGGCCCTCCAAGGAGCTGTAATTCTCAAAAGACGCTGTCATGATGTCTCTTCCCAAACTCAGGGCCGATCGGGCAGAAGTATGGGAGGTGGAGGTGCCTGGGAAGAAGGGACCATAAACGGGCTGGCTGCCCAGGAAAACGGGCAGGAAGGGCTTGGTAAATGAGTGCGGCCTGACTGTCTGTGCAAACCACACTGGCCAGGATTCTGCAAGGCTCTCTGTGAGGTTGTTTCTAATAGCGGCGGCCAGGCCTGGGTGGATGTACACCGGGCTTCTCAGTGTCTCTTGGGGGCCTGTGGCTGTGACTTCAGTCTCCACCCCTGGACTTTGCTTCTCTAGGTTTTCAGTGCTCAGCTCTGGGGAGACCTGCCCAGAGCGATTAGGTGTTTCTGAGCGTGGTGATTCTTGCCCTGTGCTCTTCCCAGTTTCCGTACCGGTGGTATTTGCGCTTAGGGAGACTTCACTGGGGCACCTTGATTCTGGTAGGTCACTAGTGTTCACCCCTGGGGAGACCTTCCCTGCGGTGTCTGTGACAGACGTGTGGCTGCTGCTGTGCGGCCCGCGGTGTCCGGATGGAGTCAGCCGTCTTCTCAATGTTTCGCAGGCACTTTCTCAGTCTGGGGTCCTGAGGCTGCGGCCTCGCGATGTGGAGAAGCAGCTCAGCATGTTCGCTGTTGACCGTCTCCGGCCAAGTGAGCTCGGGAGGCGGCTTCTACTGGATCGTGATGCCCGTTAGCAAGGGTTCTAAATTCTGTCTGAAGTTGTGGCCAAGGAAGTGAGGTCATGTCTTGGGATTCCACAACTGCAGTCCCCCCTTTGATAAGATAAACCTATGGCCTTTTTCTTCATACTAAGTCAGTGGCTACTTATTTTATTATTTTTATATAATAATTTAGTAAGCTTTTTTTAAATCTATGTATCATCTATCTATTAACTTTTTTACTTTTGAATTGCTGAGACTTGTACCCTTCGTCTCCACAAACTACAGGTATTTCTCAGGCATTCTCTTTTCAGATGGGCACTAAGGGCTTCCCTAAGTCATAGAATTGGTCAGGCTGGACTCTACCTTGAGATCTTGGCTCAGCCACCCAGAGTGCTGCTATTGCAGTCACACACCATCCTGCCTGATTCAGTGTGCTATTTAGAAACAGCAAAACTAGGAAAACTTTCTGTGATATCAGGCATTGGTGACATTTTCACTTTTAAAACGTGTGCATTGACACTTTGCATGTGGTGGGCACAGTCTTGAGGGGTTTTTTACATATAAAGGAAGCATTTTCTGTGAAGACGCAGTGCCGAGGATTTACACTGAGCAAACTGAAATTTTAGGACGCTTTTCTTTCATGGATTGATTACATCATCATTTCCATTTAATTAAGTAGGCTAAGACTTTCTAGCAATTTCCACAATAATTTTCCTTAAGAGATATGATTGTTTAAATGTGTATCTTCTAGGGGGATGGTGGTGGTTCCATAGCAGGCTGTAGCTTTGAGATGCACACAAATAATTATTTATTCATTCTTAGCTAATGAACTAAACACCAAAATATAGTATTCAGTACAGTAACATAGTGTTGCTCAAAAAATAACACCTGACTGCAGTGACCTAACTGGAACCAGCCCTAGCTAATTGTTACTGTGGTGTTGGCCAGTGTTATGCAGATTATATCCCACTATTCTCTTGTTCAGTGGCTGCTCTGTTATGACAGGTAAAGCAGAGATACGCAGATTGGGGCTGTTTTTTTATCTGGTTAGGTCTTATTTTTGAGAAACGCTATAGAGTGAGGCAGGACAGTATGTGGTGACTGCAAGGCTGAGCTTTTGTAAACCCTAGAAATCATAGCCCCTATGGTGATGAAGAACAAAAAAATATAGCATTTGAAGCTGTCCTTGTGGCCACTTGTAATTGTTTCCTGTTTTCCTATCCCAAGCAATCCGTGTACCTTGTGTCTCAAGTGGGTAGTTTGCATTTTTTAGTTGTGAGGAAGCTATAATCATTCAGCATGTAGTTTTATTTGTTTTTCATTGTTGTTTGTTTTGGTACCAGGGATCAAACTCGGGTCCTTGCACTTGCAAGGCAGGCAGTGGAACCACTGAGCTAAATCTCTGGCCCTATTTTTTTTTTTTTTTATTTTATTTTTCCAGTCCTGGGGATCAAACTCAGTACCTTGCACTTGCAAAGGCAGGTGGCGGTACCACTGAGCTAAATCCCTGGCCATTTATTTGGTTTTTGAAGAGCTTATGCAATCGGTACAACCATGTTGATGGGAGAGAACTGGCCCAAAGCAGTACCTCACCCTCCTCCGCAACATGAGAAAGCCGACCTGTGCAGAAGCAGTACCTTCCCCATATGAGAGAACCATTCCATGATGGATAAGTGATGAACTACCCCACAAAGGGATCACAACATGGGGCAGCATAGGTAAAGACTAATCAGTGGAACAGAGGCTGGCTGAAGACAGCAGGACACCCCTTGGCATGAATTGTAACCTGGGGAAGAAAAGTTAGCCAGGCCTCCAGTGTAACAGGAGCATCTCAGAGACCCATAAGCCCTAAAGCTAGGCGTAGAAAATTATGTATGTCTGGATCCCAGAACTGCAGATATGGAAAAGAAGCCACTCATTCAATAACACAGTGATGTTTCTTCAATTAGTCTTTTTTGTTTTTCCTATTTTGTATAATTTTTTATTTTTCAAGGCTTGGGTTTTTATTCTTCTTTCTTTCTCTTCTTTACATTTATTATTTACCTTTTATCTTTTTCACTTCCAGCTTTTTTCTCTTTCTTTTATCTCTTGATTTTGCTGTTTATCTTTTTGCTTCATTTTCTTGTTTGTTCTTTCTGGTGACTGCCCCCCACCCCCCACCCCGGCCAATGTCTGTTCTTTAGCACTGCTAATTTTCTTTTCATCCTTAAGAGGGTCCCCTATCATATTTTATTTCCTCCTTTTCATATCTCATCAGTTAATTTTTCATTTTCTTCCCTCCCACCCTACCTCACCGCAGTACTGGGGATTGAAGTCAGGACCTTACACAGTGCTACCGAGCTAAATCCCCAGACCCCATTGGAGAATTTTTTAATTCTTGCTTTTTTCATTTTCTGCTCCCTCTACTTTTACTAGAATAACAACTAAGATTCATGAATCTCTGGATAGTTACACTATTGCTGTCGAGTAATACATTGCTATTTTGTTAGTAGAAGTAAAGTTTTTCCATTTAGTAGATATTTACTGTCAATCAATAGTAAGAGAATATTTTGTTCATGTTAGTGCTCATCCTGTAATTATATATCTCTTTTCTACAGAGAAGTCTGCTATGTTATCGATCCTTAGATTTTACAATATTCAGTTTGTATTTAATGCTAGAATTGATGCTGATTTTATTATTACAGACAAAGTGTCATGGCTGTTGCTATTAATTGGGTTTCTTGTGGCTCCAATAGGTAATTTGCTGAGGGGTCATTAACAATACTGTGCCCCGTTCTGAGAGAAGTGGGTACTGGGCCAAAATGCTGTAATTTCCCATCTCATGGGAACCACCCAGCTGCTACAGCCCACAGCATCCACTGCTCTGCTCCACTGGTGTGTTTCTCCCTAGAGAAAGGGAGGTCCATCTCCCACCATCACCCTCACTGCACTTCTGTAAACTCAAGCCTCCTCTGTCATGCTGTGTGCCTGGAGTGAAGGAGTCACAGTTTGCCATCTCCCTCTTCTACTGTCCCCATGGGCTCCAGTTCACCCATCAGAACTTTTCTGGGTGTTGAGGCTACACCTCCCTTCTTCCTTCTCCTCCCCAAGTTGCTAGACTCTAGTGTGTGGACTCCCAATCACAGAAAGGCTCTGTGTGCTATTTTTTGAGGTTGTCAGGTCATCTTTTCCATTGTTCCCTGCATATGTCAATTTCTTTGAAAGATCAGAGACAGCTATTCTTAAGAGATTAGTGTTAAGGAAACTCAGGGTATATAGAGTGGCTAATGGCATCCTGTGAAATATGGTTACTGGTAAAAAGAGCAGAAAGACAAAAAGACTCAGCAGTGCATTTTATAAATAGGAACTTGTCTTCATTGGCTCTGAGAACTAGAGAACTAGGAATGGGACAGTCCCCTCACTGGAGCAGAGTGTGCCGCTCTAGGTAGATGACAAAAAGGGACTCGAAGCTGGACTGGGATTTGAATATTATTTTAAAGGACACGGAACTAGGCCATGACTAAGCAATATTCTTTATCAAGTGTGAAGAAAGCAGGAGAAACAAAACTCACAACTAACATAGACCTAAAGGGAAAATGAAATGGAATAAGGGAAGAGAACAGATACAGATTATCTTTTTTATTCCATTAAGTCTATTGGTACATTTAAGGTAAACAATACAGTCACATTCATTATTGGGATCTTGTACCTTTACATGATATATCTTGGTTCTTATTTCTTCACAATTCCTGTGCCCTCCTTTACCCACTTCAACCTTCCCCATTTACAAAGACTTTGTTTCCATTTTTTTTCTTTTCCTTTATTTCCTTTTCCCTACCCTCCCTACTTCCCCTTCTCCTTTAGATATTTTCTGCTATTTCACACTATCAATTATAACATTTGAACCCTATTTACACTCTTAGTTTTTCACATCATAGAAACATTCAATATTTACATGTGTGTCCTATTTATTTCACTTTAAGAATATGGCATCAATGTGCGTCCATTCAGATATAAATGTCTCTAGTTTCTCATTCATTATGGCTGAGTAGTACTCCATTTATAGAAAAAACATATCTTCTTTGTCCAGTCTCCAGTTGATGAGTGAGTGGGCTGTTTCTAAATTTTAGCTATTACCATGGGTGCACATATATTGCTGTGGTATGATTCTTTTAATTCTTTTGGAAACATACCCAGCACAGGGATAGCTGGGTCCAATGGGAACTCTGATCCTACTTTTTTGAGGTATCTCCATATTGATTTCCACAGTGGTTGCACTAGTCTGCACTCCCACCAACAAAAAAGAAGGATTCCTTTCTTCCCACTGCCCTGCCAATATTTGTTATTGGTTGATTTCTTG